GACATTTTTACATTCAAAATGACTTTTCATAAGCAGTTTTTCATTTTGTGCACGGATTTTCCATTTAGTCTCTGCTCAGATCAGCACTGCAGAATTTGGATATATAATGGCAATGATGAAGTACATAGTGCGAGTAGCAGAGCGTACTTGAAGTATGATGGAGGGGCGTGAGGTTATCCGGTAATTTTAAGAAATACAAGAAATTCTTTCTATTTTTCCGCGAAACTTCTTCTGCAGGCATTCATTCATTTTCATTTTTAATTGTGATCCTTTCTCTTTAATATGTTATTTCGACTGGGATGCATACGTGGTTAAATATTTCCTGCGGTTATTATGTTTACAAAATTGTATCTGAATGGTGTGTTCACATGTCGGTGATTGTCAGTATTTGGTTGCGTTTTTTTCTGAAAAGTTTGAGTGAGTAAAGATAGAAGATTTTTCCAATTGTAATTTAAAAAGAAATTATTTACTTTTTATTAAAATCTACATTTTCCTATTTCTTATTTACTTTAGTCATGGCATATCCTTTATTTTTAAAAGAAAATATATTTGCGAATCTTAAAATATCAGGAGCTATGAAAGATTGTATATCATTGTATAATTCTAATTCATTTTTGTGTATCGTGTATTCATAACAGCTAAAGTTATATGATTACTGATTAGCATTATCTGAAAACAAATTTTGAACTAATCAACCACGTTAAGTTCGATGAGTTCGGTCTTACAGGGTAGATCCAAGTACATAATTTTTTGAGCTATCGGTATCATATTAGTTAAAAAATTTAGTTTTGGTTTTAATTTGAATTATATTAAGGCTAATGTCATAATTAATTACAAGGCTGAAAATTCAATGATTTTCTAATAGTATATGCCACAGTTTTATTGTGGTAGAAAAGATTGTTCCTGCTAAAGTGAAATGACTGCTGTAGATAAAATATGACTTGGAGTATTCTACATTATCTTCGTTTATTGATATGAAGTATACAACTGACTTCAATTTTAATATATTGGCCATAGTACGTTTTGATCACAAAAGCAGAATCTTGTCATCACACGTCAGTTTATAATAATTATAGGTGTCAGAATTTCTAAAGTATCTTAATTACTTTTAATATAACCATCTAAAATAATTATTTGATTTATTTTATTAAAATCCTGGACACTTACTAAAACTAAATTATATTATCAAACTAATTTCCGCAATTATCACAGTTTAGAAATTTAATTAGAAAGTTAATTAAGGCACTTTTTTATAATTTTTACTAAGAGATGACTTTAAAACCACAAATACATTGTTTGCAGAACGAACATTATCTTTAAATTTGACTCGAAGGTGTCTAATGTGGAATAGAAGAAAGTTTTGAACACCTTTTCAGTACATCGCCAACTTTTTATATAAATAATATACTAATTAGATTTTATTAAACCTGTCTTTAAATACTGCAATCTAATTATTTTTTTAAGATATGAAATTTATAAGTATTTTCAACAACTCTATATTATTAAAGAACTATGGTTAAGTGACCTTAGTTGTTGTTATCTCCGTTTAAAATTTGATCTAGAAGATGAGAGAACAGTATCTTTATAGGAACTTATATCTAAAACATATATTGACAAACTGAAAACATATGTTAAGAACAGAAACTTTCAGGACTTGAATTATATAATAACTTTCTGAATACACAAAATACACAACGTTGATGTTAAAGAATATCTACACTTATCGTTCCATTACTCCACTATCATTTCATCATTTTTTATTTGGAGAACATTTTAGTTTCATTGGAAGGAAGCAATAAAACTACAATATTATATATGAATTGGATTCTGTTAGACTGTAGCCTTTAAAATTTTTTAAAAAAGTAACAAAATTTGTATTTAATTCTTAGAGTCTTGGAAGCTCAAAAAGAAGTCTTTAGTGATTATTATTTTAGTTACTTTTAATGGAAATATGTATATAGCCCTCGAAGCATATTACTGAAAAATCTATTGGTTATGTTTGCATAAATATCCCATTTCTTTAAGGTTTAATTTGAAAATTTTTTGCATTTTAAATCTTGTAGAAACACTGAAAATGATATATCTTATATCAGATAAGAGGGAGGTAGTGTTAGTTGCTTTATATGGACTATTAGTTCCGTTTGGATTATACGGATTTGCAGTTATACAGTCCGCAGTGTTATGTTGTTATTTGGACCTTGGTGTACCAATTTCGTTGTTGTTTTATATTTTTTAACAATTTGGCTTATAGAGAACAATATTATTATACTCCTACAAAAAGAGGGTTGCAATATGCGTTGTAATTCACTGTTGAAGAGGTTAACATATATATTTTCACTACCTTTATTACGAAATTTGTCAGGGAAGTTTGAAGTAAGCCGATCATGAGCTTTATGTATACTTTTTATATATTTATGTTCAAAATAAAAACAATTTGCAATATATTTTAAAACTTCATTTTCTTATATATTCCTTTTATTGACAAAATACAAACAAATGTATATAAATACAAATAATTTTTTATAATTTTCTGTGCTTCAAATTAATAGTTTCTTTCACCATAGTTTCTTTTTTTAAATTGCTCACAGAACACGTCCGTTTGTACGAGTATAAATAGAGACGAATTAAAAAATTTGGAACCGGTCTAAGAATGGAGCTGCTACTTGTGTCGGGTTTTGTTTTTCGAAAGGCAAATAGAAAAATGCGGTTGAAGACTGCACTTCCTAAGCACTTCACAGAGATAAGCAAATTATATTCAGCGAAATCACGGCACACCAAAAATGGCTAAAACAATATTAAAGTGGAAACCCTTAAGTACAGCAGCAAAAATTCACAATTAAAAGGATAACAACGAAGCTTGGCAGTGTAAAAGTGCGGATTTCGTAACTATCTGCGGAGAGTAAAACTGAAGAGCGAAAATACTGCGAGGGGGAAATAGTCGGTTGTTGGCTAACAAAATGTGAAGTTATTTTGTTGAATCGAAGCACGTGCTACCTCACTGCATTTGTATAACAGATTTCTCGAAGGAGAATATGACGCAGGCGTAATGCGGATTTTCTGAGTTTCCGAATTTCCGAATTTCCGAAAACCAAAACAAACTTCAACGATATTTTTAAACATTTTCTCTAGGATTTACATATAAATTTTTATAAATTTATTAAAATCTTTTAAATTTAATATAAACAATAGCTTTCATCAATAACTTCAATTGCATATATATAAGGAACGATTTCTCCTTTGGGAGCATTGTTTACGTTTTAGATGGAAATACTTTTACGCACAGACTGACAAACCGGTAATATTCTCTTAAACATTACCGTGGTATGAAAGGGATATGAACATGAGACTGAACTCTTCTAATAACACTGGGGAACCATGTTTCTAGCTTAAGGAATTTGCGAATATACTCCGAATGAAGAATTTCCTTTTGCGCCACCACCGCAGCATGAAAGCCAACAACAATTCTGAAATTCAGTCAAATAGTGGAGCTACGAAAAAGCAGAACAGCAGAACAGCAGTCACAGTAGCTACAGCAACAACAATAGAAGCATCGAAAAACGAAAACAAGGACTCTGGCTGCACTGCGTTTAAAAGTTCGACAACTTTGGAAAACTCTGCATGGGTAGTTTGATGCCAGTTAGCTGTGAACTTAGACCAGGTAGAGACGCGCGTTTTTAGTGTTTCCTCCGAAATTGTGATTCAAAATAATTTTTTTTGAAATCTAATGCACAAATAAATTCAGAATAAGCGAAATAAAAAAAGTTATGTACTCTGTGCGCACAAAATACATAAAATAGTGCAATAAAAAGTTTTTCTTCATTTTCGACAAAGTTTGAACAAAAACTTTTGGACTGGTTCAAAACTTTGTTACCTAAAACGCATTCAGTCGATGGTTGGACAAATTTGGTTGCCATCGCAATGTTCGGTTCGAAGTAGCAAAAATATATTTTGGCAACGCTTGCATGTGAACTGCAGATTTCTATGCACTTTTCAGCTAAGAAAGCTAAGTATTAAAGAAAGTGCAACTAAAGTGCAGAAAACTGAGTTAAGTCTTAAGAAAAGAAAAGTGAAACTGTGTTCTAAAGTTTTTAAAAATACTATTTCGTATGTGCAAAAAATTCTTGTGACAAGAAAGAATTTAAATAATATAATCTTCCGCAAAAATTTATAAACAATAATAACCGTTATAATAATGGTTTGTGGCTTTTCGGATTTGTGATTCAATGGTTCGTCGGATTGTTCGAAGTAACTCGTGTGACTTAATCAAAAACTATCAACTTAACAGCTAAACTATTCACTGTAATTACTTCGAGATTTTAAACTAAATCAAAATATTCCATCAATACCATTCATCAACCTGCCTACTCAACATCTAGTTAATTTGAATTGGAAGCTTTGAGAGTCGGAAGTGTCAATATGAAATCGAGCTAAAGACGTTTTGCTAAGTGTAATTGATGAAAGAAGAATAGGTAAAGAAAAGCAATGTTTGATTTCATTTAAAAAAATTTCAGACTTGGGTAACGCAGACGAAGGGTCATTATAAAATTCAATGCAACAAGAAATATTTAAAAATTTTTTTAAAAAAGGAAACATTTTTTTGTTTTTAAAAAATAAAGCACTTTCTAAATCTAGGCTTTTGTATTCCAAAGACGCAATATCTCAGAATCCATATATAAAGTGCTTATCAGAAGAAAACCACAGTTTTTATTAAAATTTTTCATTTTTTCTACTAAGAGATTCATACAAATTCGATTAACCGTGATATTATATTAGAAAGATATAGAGATTAGTTATTTCGTTTTAGTTCAGTTTAGTTTTGTTTTTAGTATTATTATCATAAACTGCGTTAATATACTACAGTTATCCTATATTAGTTTATTTAATATCACTATCATTATCATTATAAAAAACTTGTATGCTTTTATTTCAATACTTTATAAAAACAACTTATTAAATCTAAGTAAATCGGTTCTACAACAATAATTAGGATATTTTAGTTAAGCATGGCATTATCAAAAAGACCGCTTTCCAAAGAAACAGTTTTGGCAGAAAATAACAACAACGTCAGCAAAGTAGAAGAAAATGAGATTGCAATTAAGCGGAAAAAGCGGTCAGGTCATGACGATGAGATTCATTGCAACAACAACAATAACAACAACATTAATACTAACAATAATAGCAATGCTAGTAAGCTGGATGAAAAATTCATGTTACCACAGAAAAAACGAACTCTAAGCAATTCATCGAATAACAGAACCTCAACGGCAGCTACTATGCCGATCACAAGTCCCTCAATACCTGCTTCAAATATTTCTAAAATAAATACTGATGATCAAGACGATGAAACGCTGATACGTGAAACGCAAGCTGCACTAAAGAGTTTGTCAGGAAGTTGGCCTGAAGCACGTAATAACCCTTACCGATTGCAGGATCAGGACGAGAATCCGCCTCCATTCCAAAATCTTTTTGAAGATAAACAGAAGTATGAAATAAACTCAGTACAAAAACGTTACGAAGAAATTCATTATACCGATTTCTTACGTTTTCACAGACAAAAGGAGAACGATCAGGCACGCATTAATGCCCAACAACAGGAACAAACAATAGATGATATTAAGAAATCTACCTTTTCGCAATCATCTGCTTTCAAACCCCCCGCGGATATCAAGCGCAATGGCATCGTTTCCTACCCAGGTGCTCCACCGCCATTTCCTCATTATTCTAATTATAATAACAACGCCGAAACAACTACTAACAGCAACACATATCTTAACTACCACCAGCAACACAATATTACCGATTCATCCGTGCTTCCAATGCAACCGCCGCGTGCACCACCAGCACTGCCTCCAACGAGTTTCGACATTACGTCGCAAACTGCCGTCGATGCGAAACACGATACAAAAGCAGCTGTTGACCTGCTTAAAGAGGGTACAAATAACGCCGCAAATAAAACGCACGACGATACCAAGCAGTATACCATACTTCAGCCCGCTGGGGTTGGTAGCAGAGCAGCGACTGTTATGCAGGATATCGCACGTGAGGGTGTCGTTACCTTACCAGCAGTAAATAGCAACGGTTCAGCCGTGCCAAGTTCAGCGACAGGTGGAAATTTAGTACCGCAGCCGACCTATTCTCCAGGCAGCTTAAATCGTGGTAAGTCTGTTTTTTACTTTACAGTTAATTTGTTTTTATTTTTTAAACAAGAATTGGCGTAAACTTGTGCTAAACTTCTTGTTGCATTGAGTTTACCTTAAAATATAGTCACTGATGGTCACAAATATGTACAGTAGATAGATATATTAGTTTAAACTGATGACGCATTCAATAAGTTTGAAAATAAATAAAGCTGTAATAAATCAGTACAGCTCGAAAACACTGACATTTTTTTTAAACCTCTCTTAAAGAGACTAGTTATGTACAATATTGATATGGATGAAATATTTCCATTGTTATCCATAAAATGTAGTCACGTTCACCTGTGTAAGCATCTGGCACATGTACAAACACATGAAGACATTCAAACCACATTAAGTGACAATAACAACCAAAAATTAAACACTCGCCTTAACCTCTTAGAATTTACTCCACATCACTAGTATCTCAACCCTTTTATTTATGTCACACGTCCCATACTATATCCCTAAACAGTGCTACAACAACAATGGCGATCATATTTGTCAGAATTCCTGTTCTTGGTATGTTTGCGCATTTCGCTGTCACAGTATGCGCCTTTGTTTTCTTGTAGTTGAATGGTTGTAAGTACTTCTTACAAAAGCTGCCTACACGATAGTCAGATACAGTTAAATGCCACGCTATTGTTGTGCAAAGTATCTAGCGAAATCATCGTGGAAACACATTAGAACAGATTCGGAATGCATTCGCACATACTAAAATGCCAGCGCCGTTAACTACACACAACTCATCCTAAATGTTTCCTGTGTCTCCTTACATGACTTTGTCATGCGAATCCATTCCGCTCCGCACAGTTGTTCGGTTTCCCCCAAACTTGGCGCACTAATTTCCTTGCATTACAATTTATAAAATTCATCTTTTACTACCCAAAAAATAATTTTATTAGATACAAAGGCGGCATAAGCACGTTTTCTAAACCACTTTTGCATATTTATTTTGTCATTATGTCGGCATTAATGAACGAGCTCAAGGATGCGTGTATCTGTATTCAAAGTGCGTGTGAGTAGTTGCCTTCGATGCCATAATTGGAATGACTTTTTAAATAGTTTTGTGAGAAATTACCTCCTTCAACCAGGCAGCAGTCAGTAATAAGTCATTAGAAATCGCTTTTGGCTTCCAGCTAATGTTGCTTATTAAACTTTACTTTGGTTGTGCTAATACAGGGCGGATATAAGTAGCAATAGGCGGGTGTGAACGGGTGGAGGTATTAAATATTATTATAACAAACTTCTATATCACTGAAGTTACGATGTAAGGGTTTTGTCTCAATTTTTAATTTTTATTTGCTTTTCAAACCAAAAACAAAGTAACTTAAAATTTCTTAAGCCATGGGTTTTGGGGTGATACTTATTATATTTAAATTAAATACAATAAATGAAAATATTTTCTCATTTATTTTATATGAATTTAACAGGAAACTGTTTGCTTACTGTATTTACTGTATTTATATTATATTTATATGTTTCTATCGGCGAAACATTTGCGTAATCCAAATTTAAATATTCGAATACTTAACCTTTTAATATATCATCGAAAGCCCCAGTAAAACTGTTTTCATTTATTGAAAAATAGTATCAGAATCTTTAGTTATTTAAATACCTACATATAAATATTTTATAATATAAGGGACAATTACTTACTACAACCTTTAAAAACTAGTTATTTAATTGTGAGGCATAATTTAAGCAATTTGTCAAACGCATAGGTTACCGACAGATTTTCAATACTCACTGTATATCCTGCATTTGTAATCATTTTTAAGTATTCGACGCGATTCAAAATCAAATTAGGAAAATCTGTACAAAAAACAAAACCATATTCCGTATACGGCTGACCACAACGCCTGATTATAAGCAGATTCTTTATGCGATTATCCGAACACGTTTCATTTCATAAATACTCCGATTTTCTATAATCACCTTCGAGTCTTTTTGGAGTCCTCTTAAGAACATAGTTAAAATAAAATTTAGGATGTTGAATATTAGTAGAATAATTTATATAAGATTACTGAATAGTGTTAAGTCGAAAGTATTCATAAATCATAAAAGTTCAGTCAATGTGAAGTTATAATCACAAGCTTCCAAATAAAATCATTGAGTGAGTTTGAAACAAATATCAATAAAAATTTTCTTTAATATTTGTGAAATATCTTAGCTTTCTTTTCCTTTCCATTTCTTTTATTTTGGAGTTGGTTATGGAAAAACCTTTACTCACTTATGTGATAAATGTCAATCGATATCGATATTTACTGTTACCATACTATCGCTAGTAGAAAATTTCATTTATTTATTATCGGGGCGCTCTATATACCCCAGATAGAGGCTATGGGTCCCACCACGATCTATAAATGATTGTAATCGTTCAATATCGTTCAATCGTCAATCGTCCGTCGTTAAATTCCTAATCGTGAAGTCTAAATGAAAATCTAATCCTCTCAAATATCTTACCTTGCATAGTGGTACGAATTTTATATAGTAATTAAACAATTCCAAATCATATATTATCTATTATCAGCTGTGGTAATTCTGTTTTACGGTTTCACCCATGGTTCATAAATAAATGTAAGATAGAAAAAAAAACTCTCTGTAAGGTGTTTTTTCTTTCTTCCTTTAATTAAATTTTTATTAGAATATAAATTTTAACATGACACTGATCTGCATACACTCGCGAAAGAATGAAATACTTCTGGAGTGAGTCCTGTCTTCCGTGAACTACACGTAATAGACTTAAATATTTTATAATTTTTTTTTATGAAAATTCGGGAAAACTCTTTCACTGAGTTCGGTAGACAACACAGTACTCCCCCGTAGACAGGTTTTTAATACGTTTCTTTCGGTACTACAGGCAAATTCACTTGACATGTGTGCGAACGTCGTATATGTGAGTGTATGTGTGCGCGCTTCTTTGTGTAAATAATGCAAAGCTGTTTTCCATCAAATTTTAATTAATTATTTAGGAAAAATGCTTAGAGGTGGAGTGCGAGGATGGGTATAATGTCAAGCTCGCATTTCTTACTTTAATTAATTAGAAAATATTCATCAAATTAGGATGGAAAATGTTTACAATTTTCGAAAGGCAGCAAATCATACGCGTAACTTGAAATGTTCAAGTGAAAATTGGTGTGGAGTTTTTTTCAACTGCCAGTTTTTCTGCTCAGACAACCCAAAAGACTTCACCTCTTTAGGACATAAAAATAGTAATTTCTCAATAGTGAATCTCAATATTTTGTTTTGGTGTTTTGTTGCAGATGGCACAAAATGCCCAACGCCTAGTTGTAATGGCCAAGGACATTCCACAGGACTATATTCTCATCACAGAAGGTATGTTTTTAACACATCTCAATATTTTGTGTGGACTTTTGTATGTTAGAGTATTTTCTTATTTTGAAATGTTTACAATACAAAATTTTGCATCTTAATTTTCAGCTTATCGGGCTGTCCAAAGCGGGATAAAGTAACGACTGAATGTAAGTATATCATATAATTTATTTGGTATTTATACTAAAGTTATCTATTACTTCGCATGATTTTGTGAACAAAACTAAATGTCAAAATTGTAACTTTTTTATTGTTTTTTAATTTGCATGAGAGTGATATATTAGCTTCTATAAGTACTATTAGCGGGGTAGAGAGAATAAAGATGATATTCGTATGTAAGTTTGGTTAAAGAACAATAATGTGTATCACTTAACAGTAATATATACATTCGATATTATGAGTATTTCTTTACCTCCCCGCTTGTATCAAATGATTGTGGTATTTCTCTACGCTCTATTTAAACTCTTCTATGTTTCCTTCCTTACTAACATAATAACTACTCTACAATCGATCTTTTTAGCACCAAACTAATTGCATTGGTACTCGTATTTCTACTTTTAAAGACTTTAGAAGAATTAGAAAGATCTTATATGTGTATCTTGTCATGTCTGTTGAATGCGTATTGAGTAGATTCTTTATAAATTTAGCAAAGCTCAATATTTTCAAACTGAAGCACTTACGAACTAATGGAAATTATTTTTCAAACATTTGTGTAGTATTGGCTTTACATGAGCAAATTCTTAAATGCCCAACACCAGGTTGTAATGGTCGCGGGCACGTGCAATCCCATCGCAGCGTCCATCGCAGTCTATCCGGTTGCCCAAAAGCCATAAAAAAAGCTTGCAAGAAAAATTCAAAATTCTCTTCTATGACCAAAAGTGATACGCTTGTTCTTAATAGAAAACATTTCAAAGAAATTGAAGGTTTGTGAAACATTTAAACATATATTAATATATCATCTTTAGTCTCTACCCTTTCAATTATTGAGAAGAAATTTAATTAAGTTTACTTGTCCGATTTTTTTTTAAACGTAATTTTTTACATGAATAATTCTAGCTTTAGAGACACTTAAAACAGAACATAAAGAATTGCATCATTTAGAAAAATTAAAAATTGCTTCAGCTCAATATCTCAATAACAATAATGCGAATTGCATTAACAATAACAACAGCAATGGTATTGGTGCGAACAGCTCATCCGGCAGCAAATTAAATCTAAACTTAAACAACTCTTCGAACACTATGCCAATTATTAAAACGGAATTTAATCCCGTTACAAATATAAAGTCCGAATACAGCAAAAGTCCCATGCATACGTATATTAATAATGACCCAGCCAACAGTGCAAGAACAAATGGCACTTCAGCAGGCAACACAACATTAGCAGGCAACACTCCCGGTCAACCTTTGACGAACAATGACAATTTGCACTCATCGCACTTGAATGGAGTACGAAGTGCGACTGGTGCACTTCAGCAGTCAACTGAAATGAACCGTTATGTGGGTATACAACAACAAACTCTTAGTGACCAACAGCAGCAGAGCCCACACAATCCGCATCAAGTAACTTTACATCAACAACGGGGTCCATTTATAGAGGGTTCAGCTGCACTAATGATGCCCGGCGGCAACACAGCTACCTCGGATGGAGAAGCATATCGAACTGAAAACCATCAACAACAGGATGGACATCAACAACAGCAGCAGTACGACCACATGCGTTACACTCAACATATGACGAATGGCGATGGTCTTAGTAAATCTTCAACCAACTATGCCAGCGATATGCTGAACAATAATAATAATGGAAACACAACTACGCTTTCCCCAGTTTCACGAAGCTATGATCCTAATCCACCAACATCGATCACAACAACTATTTCGTCACCTTATGGTGATTCAATATCTGTTGCTAGCATGCCAACAGCATTTGAACGTTACGATCCAAACTGCAATGGACAACGTCAAGCTCCACCCACGAATATGTATCATTACTTACCGCAGTCAGCAGAGGACTTACAAGCTCAGCAGCAAAAGTATATTCAGGAGCAACAAATGATGCTAGCCAAGGCAGAGCATGATGAAATGGCAAATGGTGGTCCAATATACCCAAGGCCTATGTATCACTACGATCCGAGCATGGGACCGTTACCGCCAGGATTCTCTGCTATTAATTTATCTGTCAAAATGGCGGCAGCTCAAGCAGCAGCAGCTGCTGCTGCTTATCAAAATCATCATCATCATCAACAACAACAACAGCAGCAACAACAACCACTTCAGCCAAAGCAAAGCAGTTCACCTTCCCCGTCTGGAGCTCCTGTAGTTGACTTATCCGGCTCGGCCTCTGTAACATCTTCCAGTCCACACGGTTTCAATTCCCCCTCATCCCACAACCAATATAGCCAGCGTATAGGAGCTGGTAGCCCACAACCAGGTGCTAGTCCAAATATTGCCAGTCCGCAAGTGCCAAGTCCACAAGGACAAACTTTGGACCTAAGTGTTACACGTCTGCCACATAGGTAGGGTTCACAAATAGAACTGACAATGTTCATTTGACGACAAATATTTACAATGCTCTACTTTTTAGTATTGTTACAAGTCCCCAGTACGGTGCCCACCCAGATGGCTTGGTACTTGGTCACCCACAAAGTTTTGGTCCAGGTGTAGTAGCTACAGGTGCTAACGGAGCCCCACGATCGCCACAAATGGAACCAGTTGATTTCAGTGGACCACCACGTCCTTTAGGATTTGGACTTGTCGGTCACATTGGAGGTCCACGACCATACAGTCGTGAATCGACACCAGACAGTGGCGGCTCGCATTATATTGACAGCTACCGCGATCCAAGTGGTAAGTTCTTAAAGCTTAAATAATCAAAATTAATTGCTTATACAAATATCATGGAGAATACTGAGGTATTCTGACATTTCAGACATGGAATTTTTATATATGTATTTTGGTGTATTTTCTTTACAATTTAGGCTATTCCCCACATCCAGGTTATGGAATGGTAGTGCAATCTGATTATCCCCCGGCAGGTTATCATGGCTATGGTCCTGCTGCGTATCAATGCAGCAATCCGTATGCAACCGCTGTTGGTGCTGGCGGATATCCAACACCAGTGTCTGGTGGCTACTCACCTAGTCCAGCGTCATGCTATTCTATGCCGCCACCGCAGCACATACCGCAGCACGACAAGGCAAAGGATAGGTTAGTCGAATGGCAAGTCAAATCATTTTATTATTTTACACTCTCATTTAACGGCGTCCTTACACATTGGCTAAGGACTTCAATTACTTTTGGAGAAAGGAACATATTAATTGTGTGTGAGTTTATATATGTGGGCAAGACTTGTTGAGTATACAAACGTAAGAAAGAGAATTGCGACATAAAACAAGAACAAATACTTTTCGACAAAAGATACTGAATGCTTTGGCATTAGTTTGAGTTTTTGTTTAGGGAATAATCATAAAATACATAGTTAGAGTCCTTAATAAAATTTAATATTTATAAACCAAATTAACGAGGCACTAAAAATAAGTAATCGACAATGTTTTACTGTATAAGGAGAAGGTCACTACGAATACAATGACCACTTATTTTGTCTTTGTTTCAAAGTCTTTAATAAAATACATCTTTAAAAAGCAAGAAGATTAAACTTTGAAAATAACCGGGCCTATGTTTAAAATATATGTTTTATCGACTTTTTATCTTTCAAATTACAATTTCGAGTGTTCAATCAAGCGTTCAGCAATGACTATTGAAGCAGTGCTTGCCTAAAAAGGATTTTGTAAGGATTGGCGTAAAGTTGAGTCGAGTGGTGGTCAAGATAAAAATAAGTTTCTTAAGGACATTTCAAATCAAGTTAAGTTATCACATTTCGAGTAGCTAGCTTAAAGAGGTAGCAACAGAAAAAAAAGAGAGGGGAAGAGGGAGATAGAAAGTAAAGCAATTGAACTGAAATTTGTAAGGAGTTCGTTACTTGCTGAGTAAAAAATATATGAATAAAATAGATTTATTTTCAGACATTTTTCTATTTTGGCATTTGGTTTAATAATTAAATTTTTTGTGTAGTTTGACGGGGTGCCCTCGTAGTGATCGTAACCACTTACAATCGCATTCGCAAGAACTTAAGTGTCCTACACCAGGATGTGATGGATCTGGTCATGTGACTGGCAACTATTCTTCCCATCGCAGTCTTTCTGGTTGCCCACGTGCTAACAAGCCAAAAAGTAAGCCGCGGGATGGTCAGGACTCCGAACCTTTACGGTAAGATCTTTTGAATTTTTTTTTTAGTTTTAACCAAGTAATTATGATTTATTATGCTCAGCTGTCCAATACCCGGATGCGATGGCTCAGGGCATTCAACAGGAAAATTTTTATCACACAGAAGGTAATTTAATTTTGCATTTCTTTTACATTATCTTTACCTAAATGTGTTTCCACATCCAGTGCATCTGGCTGCCCTATCGCAAATCGAAATAAAATGCGAGTTCTCGAGGCGGGTGGGACGGTGGAACAACACAAAGCGGCTGTGGCAGCAGCTACGGCGATGAAATTCGACGGTATGCTCCATTTATAACTTTTACTCTAAATCACGGTTTAAGCTCAAACGTCGTTCGTACTTTTTTTGTTTTCAGGTTGTGGTAGTGCAGGAGCCCAAAGTATAAAAAAGCCAAAATTTGACGAGGTGACCATGGTATATCCGAAAGGATACACAGGTGAGTCCCGATGACTTTTCGTTGTTTTCTGTCTAGAGTATCGAAATGTGTGTGCGTGTGCTTACACAGCTTCAACATCAAATTTATTTTTTGGTTTTTTATTTAGTAAAAATTTATTTAAAATTTTTAATTTAATCCACAGTTAAAATTAATGATTATATGCTCAACAAATGTGAAATGGTTTGAATTCTAATTTTCCTTTTTCTAATTTTTCATTTCAAATATTTTTGTTTAGATTACGCGACGTTTTGTATCGGTGCCGAATATCTACTGTAGAAATAAAGAAAAAAACATACAAGTTAAAACCTAATCTGTGAATATTACTATATGATATGTATATATAATCGATCTATTATCCACACAAAACCGTTTTGAACAACAGGTAAGACATTTCATTTTATATCATAAATAAGTTCAGGTTTGTGTAGGCATAGTTTTAATGTTCACCTACAACTGCCACTAATCTTATTCAATCTAGCTGCATAATTTTGTATCTGTATTAAAGCACACGCGCACATAACTGCATTCATTCCATATATTCTATATGTTAAATCTGTATCTGGTCTCGTTTTGCAGGCATAGAAATGATGATGGTAGGCGGCGGCGCTTCAATAAATTCAACAAACACTGTGTCAGGCTTGCCAGGGGTGGGCGCCGGATTGACTAACTCCACATCGGGTGCGACATTAACGGATAGCATGCACAATAATATTGCGTCTGGTAATGAAATGAACGGAACTTCCAGTGAAGATCTTAACACTCTGGAAGCAGAAATATCGGAATTGCAGCGGGAAAACGCTAGGGTGGAGTCACAAATGATGCGTCTCAAGTCCGATATCAACGCAATGGAGACTCAATTGAGCACCAGCGATAGGGTACGTAGGCTCAGGTTCGTTGAGGCAATATAAGTATGCTAATCTATACTTGGCTCAATATAAAAAAAAAATTGAATTTAATTTTTCTTAAATTTGGTTTTCTTCTTAAATCTATTCTGTTGCATCTTTCAATTCAACAGGAGGCCTTCAGCATATTTCACAAAACTTTGACAATACTTTTTATGTTTATGCTCGTTTACTTTGTTTTCCAAATTTCTAAACTTCTTTATAACAGTTTTCAAGGACGTCTATAAAGTCTCAGAAGCTGAGCATTTAAGAAGTAACAACAACTTTCGCACCGAACTCAGAACTTGGGAACTTGGAGTTTCTAACACTTGCACTGGCCCACAAACTTTTCGAGCGCTTAACCCAGCAAAAACGTTCCCATTTTTTCAACTTTTGTTATTTAAATTATTACTCGAAACACAACCACATGCACTCCTCGACTGTCTTGGAGCTTCCTCGTATTTTTCTTCACTTTGTACTTTATCAAAGTTTATCAATTAATTTTTATGGAAAGTTACACTTTCTCGTTGCTCCACTCCTACCGCTTCTGGTTCTGCCAACGTCGCTGACGTCACCGCCGCCGCCGCCGCTGTTGGCAGTTCACACGCTTTTCTGGCTTGAGCAGGCCGCAGTTTGGAATTTCAGAATTTTTGGTGCAAAAGTTTTTAACCCAAGAAACTTCGACTCGTTGTGGTGCGAAAACTTTAATGCTAAACAAAATTGCGTCGAGACAAACAGACAGACAAGAAAAAGTGTTATCAGGCTTGTTTTCCAGAACTTAAACTTTTCTTTTTTAAGAAAACAATTTTAAGTGCAGTTTCCAAAAATCATTTGCTTGAATTCTAAAATTAGAATACAATATACTCGTAAGTCTACAGAAATTAATGAGCAACGATGCCAATACCTTACTGTACTATTTCCCTGGGAAAACCAATAAAAAAAAATGAATTAAATCAAAAATTTGTCACGAATTTGATTATTAAGATTTTCATTCAAAGATAGATGACTCCTTTGAGTCCATCTATCAAACTGAGCAGCTCTATTGATTGAGAAATGTGACACATCTGTATGGTTTCCAAAAAAAAAATGCCCTCAAGTGCCATAAGTGAATCGTTCATGTACATATATATGATATTTCCAAAACATTAATATGAAAAAAGGACTCAGATACTATACCTAGATTTTATAACATTTTGGCAGATATTGAAAATAAATTGCATGGCTGGTAATTCGAAAGTTTTCAAAATGGCGTTTGCTGCATTGTACTTAGTCGAAATAAAGCAGAACAAAAAGAATCCGCCAATGACTGTGCTGCAATGCATTTCTGCTGCATTCGCTTCTTTCATTCAACATCCCCGAGCAGGTTTCCCTAAATGTTAATGTGTGTGTAACGCGCACGTACGTCCATGCGCGAGCTGCACTGGAAGTTGCCTCAAACCATCCCCAAAGCCAAATAAATAACCCCACCTGCAATTGGGTCGCTTTTCTCTCTCTCCAAATTCATTTACAAATCAACAAATCGCGTTTCGATTCGCTCCTATCCCCATTTAACCTGAGCCATGCCACCCAAAACACATATTTCGCATACAATCACATGAGACTCTCGCAACCTTTTGGCCTCCCACGAGGGTTGTGTGGAGCCACAAAAAAATGAGAAAAAAAAGGAGGCGCCACGCACATACAAGCGCACACAACAATCAACCAACTACAGCACAATGTGTATCTATTGCACACCATCCCCCCAAGAGCAGCAACAACACTGAAGTGCCTCACTGTTGTTGCTGCAAATACTGCCTGCTTCTTTGTTGGCTCCATCGATTTCGAAACAAGTGTGTAAGGCAGGCGTGTGCAAAGCATGTTTCAGTTCTATTTTCTGCATCTTTGCTTCAGATATTTTTCTTTTTTCTTTTTTTCTTTTTCTTTTTCCTACTTCCTTTTTCCTTTCTGTGTTCATTTTTCAATAGATTTTTATGTATTTGAAATTGTTTTTTTTTCGGTTTTTTCGTCCTAAAAGGTTGTTTGCTATCCTTGTTGTGTGCACAGCTCTTGAAATCTTGAAAAAAATATCTGTATTTGTTTTATTGTAGGTGCTTTTTGTAGGGTCGTTATTTCGCTTCACTGAACCGACTTGAGTAATAATAAATTTAATTTAATTTCATGTTCTGCTAAATGATGCGGAAGAGAATTGAAAGGAGGTGTGATATGCGATGTTATACTCATATGTAACTAGGATAAATTCGACGAATAACGAATGACGAATCTCGATTTCAATTATTAAGGAGACTGTTTTCGCAAATAAAAGTGTCGACGGAGTTAGACGGAGTTCGACTAAATTTTTATAATTTGTGGATATATTGAGATAAACCTAAACACTTCAAAATGCTGTCTCATTCAAATACTTAACAAAGATCAAGTACACGGCCTCATCTTCTATTTGATATGTACCTTTAATCCCTTTCTCAAGTATTCGATATACTTGCAATATTTTTTATTGCCTGCTTTTATCTTCCAATGATATTACTAACTGTGTAGTTTATTATATTTAACATACAAGTAACATAAAGGGAGTGTATTAAATGGAAGATGTAGGAGACTATATAAAATATATGATCGGCTTTATCATCTCGTTGAGACAAAACATACACATACATATAATATATGTGGATGCATAACAATTTGTAAGTTTTAAAAGAACACAAATAAAATATTTCAACCAGCTATTTTGTTGGAAGGACCTAGATTTAAACATACCTATAGCACAAACTTTCAGAAATGGGACTAAAAAATATTTATTATTTCGTATTCCATTGTTACTAACGCTAATTTTGGTATACTACATTTCAGATAAATTTGACAAGAACAATGTTTAGGAGTTTAGGAGAAACTCACCGATGCTTTAAGCATATGCACTTTTACCATCAGAAGGTTTCTTTTAAAAGTAATTTTAATTTTTTTGGGTTTCTTAACCTTGAAAAATATTTTATTGAATTATTCACCATTTTGGTTCAATAGCTTACGCTATATTTTTGTTGGAATCATGATTCCTTACTTACGAAATTTCTGATCTTTCGTGATTCAAGACTTTTTTGATGTCCGTATTTGAAGATAAGGTTTAGCAATCTAAAAAAAATTGTGGAAAACAAACGATTATCCGATTGTGCTATATTTGGAGAATATGGTAGTTGCGAATTATATATCATCTAAACTGGTAAAGCTTTTTATGAGTCATTCTCTTTAAATGAGATTTATACAATAAATTTTTATTAGTTTCGGAATTGTTAATTGATGGAGTTGCTAATAGCTAATATCTTTACTCTTTTCTCTGTGTGCCATACACCGAACGAACGTGTCCATTTATCTCTCTTTTATTTTAGGATCGGCAAATTTTCCGTCCTTTGCTAGAACTCTTCTTAGCGCAGTAAAATAATTATGGCGTTCCATTTATTATACTTAATAAGTTATATATGTGCTCTAATTTCTGATGCACTTTTTTTGTAAGAACATGTGGAAGGCATATGCCCAGTTCTGAAATAAATTAATATCTCAGCTATGTTATGAGTTATTATTTGGCAATAAGAATCATCTTTATTTGAATAAAATGGCACTTTAATACATATTTGCTTCATTTTATAATACGTATTTCTATTAAATTTTTATTTAATTATACAATCTTGTTACAAAACTTTTATTTACAATATTGCCAGCTATGCGTACTTAAAGGAAAATATATATTTTTTTTTTGTTTTCTACAGGAAGCTTCTCCGCTGAGTAATCTACCACAGCGTTCACTTACTTCCGTGTCTAGCACTCCTGGAGGAACAACATCAGTAGTAGTGGCTGCCTCCAATAGCTCTACACACCCAGTCGCCAATGAGTCAACTAGTATTTCTAACAATATCTCTAATAATAACGATTCATTAGACCCAAGCTCTGTTAATTCTGTTAGCTCAGTAGTAGTTCCATCTTCTACTGCGACTGCTGCGACCAGCATAAATAATTATTATGAGAGTCTACGAAATAATGTAATAACATTACTAGAGCATGTTCGTTTGCCACCACCGGGGAACAATACTGCTGTAACCAACTCTACAGTGACTAGTACTCTTACAAATCCAGTGTCAATGGTGAATAATCAACACTCTGTATACAGCACACATCCCACTCTTATACCACCAGGACCCTTACCTAGCGCTTCCATAGTGCCATCGAGTTCAAGCGTTTCTATTTACGGTGCTTCACCTCATCATCTTACAGCCACACATACTGCCGCTTTACCACCCCCTCCTCCACCAAATTCTTCGACAGTAGGAGGACCACCTCATCCCTACACTGTTCATCACTCAGCTGCATATCCACATGAACACTTCGATTCTTATATTTCGAAGCTACAGTCATTATGTGTGCCTCCCGATGTCTATGCTCTACCACCAGATGATGCAACTCGTCCCATGTATGACACTGTTAAGTCAAGTTTACATCAAGACTACACACTTATGCCAACTCCGATATAAGGAAACTATGTAGATTTCAGCTTTACTGATCAGCTTAAAAGCTGAACCCATGTGTGCAATATATGCATCGATTCTGTGAAGAATGAAACGAAATTTCTTCCTATCCGGTTTTTGATATGTTCGAAGTCAAATGTTTGTATATAAAGTAGAATTAAGGTATTTAATGATGTACAGTTATGAACGTTGAGTCCCAAAAAAAATAGTTAATTGATAGGAAATGTTTTTGTATATTATTTTTATTAAATCGTTTAGTATGTATATATTGTTTGTATTAATAATAATCGGAACTGTAAGTCCGAGAAAACTTAATAAAAATATTATTAGATATTAAAACGAAAAGCCGAGACTGCTCAACTATCTGTAAATAAAAAAAATCAAAACAGGTCACCAAAATTATTAGAAAGTTCTTAATTTATTTAGGATTAAAAATGCATTAACGTCTAGGAAAGGTCAATTTTTTAAATATTATGAGTAAATATCTACAACAGACTGTATATAATATCGTATACTGAAATAAATTTGAGTATTCGTCTTTTAAAAATGTTTAAATCAGTCAAAACGTAAAATGTAGTGAAGTTAATAAGGTCCATGGGTCATGTGTTCAGATATAGAAATGTAGAATGAGCAGTACTTTTAATAATTCTACTATAAAATATGTGATTTGTTTTGTAATTGTGTGTGTTTATGTGAGTACCACTTTAAATGCTTTCTCCTCCTCAAATCAAAATAGTCATCATTTGTATAAGAAATTAATTAATAATGTATATATCCAGCAGTCAATGTTTTAGAAAAATGTAAGGAATATTATATATTGTGCAATAATAAAAACGATAATGTGAGTCTTTGATTCAAAATTTTTAAATCATTAAAAATTTGAAGTCGAAGTAAGTAGAAAATTTTAATCAAAGCGATGTACTTACCAATAAACGAAAGTTAAATCGTAAAATTTTACATTATATGTATTATATTATTATCATTCTTATAATTACTATTAATATCTATTAAGTATTCGGAAAATGCATCATTACAGTTACGCTATAGAAAAATAAATAAAAACTCATAACTAATTAAATAAATAATTCAGTGTTAAATTTTAGTATATATCAGAACTAAATACATTAAATATAATATACATAAACTATAAGTAATATTTAAGTGTTTTTAATACCTCTGCAGATAGATTCTTCAAGAAGTACACATATATTGTATCCATCCATTGCACTCTTGTGACAAGAGAAAACCGAAATTTATCTTTTAATAATTCAGCTTAAACCCCCTTACTTTAATGTATGAGTAATATATGAGATATATGGCACATAGTACTTTCATCAAGTTATTAAGGAAACTGTACTTTTACCACATCTTTTGGTACGTTATTGAGTAGTTGAGAAAGATACTTAGAATATATCTTCGTTCAACATATATGTTTATATAAAGACTTTCAACATGTTTTGCTTTTTTTATCCAACTACAGCAGATTTAAGAGCACTCGATTCTTAGCGTTGCTATATCTACAGCAATATAAAATGTAATATTAAGAACTCAGTAGATAAAGATGAAACCATATGATCTCTTGTTTTACTGAGGAGTAAATCACCCTATTACACTACCCTAGATACTATCTCTAGATATCATTGTCACCATTATAACTCAATTATTTTCGCAAGTTGATCGGTTACCTTTTCGGTTCTTTTCGTGCGATTAAATATAGATGTGCATCTCTACTAAATAAGATTTACGGTGGGTAAAACATCAAATCCAGTGGGCAATTTTGTTAAGTGGTATTTTGCTCCACCTAAATTACTTCGAAGTTATATATTTATACTTAGTATTACTTCATATGTTCATTTTTTGGTAATAATGCTATTATTTTCCAGATCTGCCAGTGAGTTCTCACTTTCAAATCTTTTTGTTGCTTAAGCACGCTAACGATTCTATTCATTATTATTTTTTCTATTCATGTTTCAATTTTTCGTGATCTTACACAAATACTGTAAGCTTATTTAACTATGATGACCTAAATGTATGGCCTTTTATCGGGGTTAGGTTACGCAATTATTCCGATAGAATGTAAGTACGTATTTTGCTGCTTTTTATTCGCTATATTATGAGTTTTAACCGTCAACATGTTTAGGCTTACACAAGAGTCTGACGGTTTAAGGTGTTTGTACACCTTAACACTCTGTTAGTGTTTCTCTTCGCAGTATCTAAGTTTTTATGGCTTAGGACTGCAATGGTAGCAATTTTTAACTGCATATTCAAGTTTTTGCGTAAATCGATCAATCGGATTCGTACCGAAATTGAATTGAAATATATATATTTCAAAAATGATATAAGGTTTGTTCGCCAAGTTTATTTTCTTCTAAAATGTAGCCACAGTATTTAGTATTAACTCGATTTATCTGGCTGCATAGCACATTCCACATATTTGCTCCAATTTACATCAAAAAACTCAAAAGCAAACAAATTCAAAACTTTAATGCGCTTTAGAGGAATGGTTTAAAAACCATTTTGGTGATTGCGTAAAAATGTGCTGGCGAAACTATCTGGTCTATCTATAGAACTATCTGGATTTTAATAGACTGGTCCAAGAAGAAAGCAAGAGTACCCGCATGCCGCTTAAAATACCCCTCTGAACAAAGGACATGGTTTTTGCTTTTGGAAAACTACTTTGGTTGACCATCAACGTTTAAGTCCTTAAAATTTAAAACTTCAAATTTGAATTTAGATTTGAGCGCGGACAACTACAAACAAAACTATTCCGACATATGCAGGAGTTGGCAACAAAAGGGTCAAACTGTTTACTTGCGAGCCACAAATATTTGCATAGTTACCTTTAATGTGGTTCAAAATATTCTAAAACGTTTCGTAGTCATTTCAGATGAAAAGGGCAATCAGTGCAGGAAAATTATCTTCACATAAAAAAGAAATTAAATTTATGCCGAAATTAAATTTGAAACATGTCCTACTGACGTTCGGGTTGTGCCTTGCATTGTCTCTGACGAAGTAATGAATTCCATTTACATACTCACACTCCCAGCTGAACGAATACTTTGATTTTTTGTATTTGGATGTCATTAATGAAGAATTCTGCTGTTTGTGTATTTTATGGAAATTTATTTCAACAAAAATTGCCCTTTTCAACCCTTTTGAGCTTTGCAATAAAAACTTTTAAAATTAGTGTCTTATTAACCATTCAAATGTACACAACGTGTGTATCCAAGACGAGGAGTGCCGCCAACATGCCCCATTCTAGCTTTATTTGCGACAATGAGTGTCGTGCGAGTTCATCACATGATTTCCACAAGTGATGTAAGCTCATATCCGCCTTTCATTTAACATTTTTATTTCCTGTTAATTTTGATTCTCGGATGCCGTCGCCGTTTTATTTGTTTGAGATTAATATTATCTAGGAATAATGACAAAATATTAAACATTTTTAAAGATGCAATAAAATAGAAAGAAATTCGCTTCCCAATGTCTTATCATTTAAAATTTGTGTTAGAAATGTACATAAAAAATGACAGCTAAATAGACTAAAAATAAGCAGCACCAAGTGGATGATATGAATCGATATAGTAGTATCCGTCTATTAGCCTGTTTTAATGAAAATGTTTTCGAAGTATCTGCTTGAAATGCAGAGGGAACTATTTACCAAAGACTCTAGAATATAGAGCTAGAGCATTTCATATGTTCAAGTTATCAATTTCTGTTTTTATTAATACTATAGATTAATAA